GAATAACGGGGAGTCAGAGCCACACACAGGCACCGGGACCCTGCCAGCCGGGCTGCAGGGAGGAGGCACCCGCCCGCACAGGTAGGGAGAGCATCGCTGCTTGTCAAGAAGCACCAGGTCCTTTCCTGGCTCTCAAGGACTCAGCAGGATGAAGCTGCTCAGCTAATACATACGTTCAAGACGTAGGCAGAGGGGTAGAGTGGGAGCTGAGCTCCGTTGATGACGAAGGTGATGGTGGGCATGTTCTGGATCTCATTGCAGTCAACGGCATACTGTGGAGAGAGGGTGAAGAGGAGGTTATGGCTGGAACAGCACCCACCGTGAGAGAAGAGACACCCCTGTGTGCGGGGGTAACATACGCTTCATCCCCTGGCACTGCCACATTGCCTCGTCCTTCCCTGCCGTGCCTGCAGTACCATGTTCTGTAGATGCCACGTGAGTTTTGTGGGACCTGGTCAAGCCCACGGCTTCTGCCTCACTTGCAAGCCTCCCCGCCGCTCTGTGCGCACCTCCCGAGCATCCCCTGCACTTACACCGTAGCTGGTGGGCTGGGCACCCAGGGCCTGAACGAAGCTGTTCATGTATGCCCGGGGCACCGTAAAAAAAAATCCACGATGGCTTGGCAGCCCTGGCTGCACCAGCCGGTCGCCGACTGTCCGATAGCAAACCTGGGAGAACAGGGAGAAGGACGTCACTTTAAGCACCCGCTGGCAACTAAACCTGTCTTGGCTCAATCTCTGAGCCTGGGATGCTCCGGAATGCAGTGCCTAACCCCCACCTTGAGCCCATGCCTGCTGCAATAGCTGCAGCTTCGTCTGGAGGACCGCTGTACCGCCCACGTTACGGGAGCTGCCCGGGTGGATCATGCCCATCACGTAAAACACAACTCACTCGTTAACCGCGACCTGCCAGTAAAGCTCCTGGGTCACCGGCGCCCACGTAATGTCCCCATGGAAGAGCTGAGTGTCAACCCCTCCAAGAATGAGCTCTCCCCCATAGTTGTTGGTGGGTTGGCTGCAAAAACACAGAATTACAGCAGCAGAGATTGGCAAAGCAGTGCGATATGCATGGAATAGCGAGGGACAAACTCGTAAGGAACGTGCATGGGGACAGGCAGAGGGACACCAGTGCACAGAGGACGTGCAGAGGACCCCGGCCGATTTTTACCGAGAGAAGTAGAAGCTGAAGATGGGCTGGGTGAGCTGGTTCTGCTGCAGCATGCCCTGCAGCACAGTGGGCAGCCCTCCCACCGCCAGCGAGGGGTAGGCCATTCCCAGGATCCCATCAAAATCGGCATAGTAGAAAGGCTGGGTCGGCTCGCTCCTGCTGAGCCCGAACTCCTGGTTTGTGACCACAATGCTCTGGATCTGGAGGGGAAGGGGACGCCGGGTCAGCCTGCATGCTTAGGCAAACCCAAAGAGCACGCTGTGAGGTCATAGCTGGTGAAAACATCTCCAGGCAGCTGGGAAAACTAGCAGGAACTGTGATAAAATAACATGAAGACCCCAGCTGGGTAACCGACGGTGGCAATAACCACTTTATGTCGGTTCTGCCCATCCCAGGCTCCGGTTTGCCCAACTCTTGTCTAGACAAGACATGAGATCTGCCCTTAAGCTGTCCCCCAGGCTTCTCCCATTGGGGCACCCAGTTGGCGCTGGGGACACAGCACCCAGGAAGACAAGGAAGGCGCGCGGTGCGCTCACCCTCAGCGTGTCGTAGCCCAGCACCACTGTGAGCGCGACCGTAGGCGATGGTGTAGGACTGGCCGTTGTAGGTGAAGGTGGAGGACTCGTTGGCCTTGAACGTCGCGTGGTTGGCTGCGTGAGAGAGGAAAGAGAGCAAAGCTCCTGGGCACGCGCTCGCCTGGCTGCGGTGGGATTTCACCGCCTGTCGCTCTGCCGTCTGCCGGGATAATGCCTGGGAAAGCTGCTGCCCTGGCAGAGAGCGGGTCGTGAAGAGCGGAACGGGTGTTCCCCTCCCTCACAGTTATCTCTAGGGCAGGGTTTTGCATCCCGGTTTTGCCTGCGTCCCCCTCAAGGGAACAGCTTGTTGCGACCACAACCGCATCAGCTACCCAGCGTGAGCAAAGCCATCAGCAGTTAAATCCCCATCGCCCTCCCGCCGGCGGCAGCGAGTTACATCAGATGAGCTCTGCCGGGGAGCAGGACGTCAGCTCCGCAATTTGTAGCTTTGCTCGTCCCCCCACCCGGCCACGAAAGGTCAGGCACAACCACCGCGATTTCTGCGCTCTGGGGACACCCACGACGGCCGTAG